GTCTATTTGAAATTTCCTACCTTACTGTAATGTTAACCCTTTATTGATGTCCTATTTTTAACTTACTTTTCAACTCTGTAAATAATGCAACTACTTTTATTCCTCTGCTGTATCCAAGAATTGCACCTAGGTACTTGTACCTAAGATGTCGCCATAAGAAGGCAGACATTGTTAAAGCTTTTCACTGCACTCCTACAATGGAGTACACGTGACAATAAAAGGATATTGTATTCTCCCTTTATAACTGAAGTTCCTCATCTCTGGAATAATTCCTATGAATCTTTTCTGCAGTATTTATAATGCCTTCTCATCTTGCCTAAAGCGCAGCACCTAGATCTGGAAGTAATTGCCCACCTCCTTGTTCTTGTACTGTCTACCCCTATTAAAGGCTAGGATTCTCCCAAGAAACTTCACATAGCACAAAAATCACCTGAATTAGGAGAGAAAGAAAATCATTTGAATCCAAGGCACTGATCCATTTTCCAGCATGATGTTCTGACAAAGAACTTCCAACGTACTACCCACTCTTATTTAAACACATTGCTAGCAGGATGGAAAGCCACAGCTGTGGTTTTACATCCAAAGATGGTACTATTTTCATGAAAAATAATTCCTCAGCTTCGAGTCACATGCTGTTGCTTTGTCTAACTACCTGATCCATTTTCAGGTCCAGGCCCCTCTGAATTTCTGATACCTAAACAAATGTTTTGCGATCAAAACAGCGTTTAATTTTACCTATTCTATGTCAGTGGTTAAGGTGACTAAATTTATTGTGAGGATAGGAAGTATCCATAGTAAATTTCAATTATTTGATTGGAAACATGCTTGTTGTTTGCTAATTCCGGTTCTTTTTATGGTATCATTAGGAATTAGGAGCAACATTGGACCACTTGGCCCCTCAAGTCTGCCTTGCCATTCAACAAGATCATGGCTGATCTGCTCCAGCTCTCAACTTTTTCATGCCAGTTCATTGGAGCCTTCAATCATCAGATCATGTCAGCAAAACTGTAGAAGGGTAGCTTTCAGCATTGTCAGCCTGTGCTATTTTTACCAGACAGGCTCATCAAAGATGAATGGGAAGTTATACTAAGCGTATCTGGCTCTGGCCACTAACTGGAAACAGCTGCTATCTGCTAAAGGACTATTGTTATATGATTTATCTGGTAATAACTCATCTTCGGGTCTCCCAGATGGCTATCTTTAATTTGTGAATCAGTGCAGGGAGTGTACTAGGGCACAAGAGCCAAGTTGGATGTTGTCATTAGTCAGTATCGACACACTACTGCAGGAGTCTGGATAGAAGGCTGAAGTAGGAACTTCGGATGACATTGTTCTCTTGAGCCCATTCGTCAATAGTGCCATATTTGGAGCACTACAATTTTCACTTTGCCAAGAGTAAGTCATCAAGAATGAAATAAGAATCATACCTGAAACCTAGTCAGTTTGGCATAGATCTTACATCCAACATGTAACAGAATCGATAGAGGAAGTGCCGAAGTTGATGGAAATGCTCCCCCAACTTTGCAAAAGTAGTCAAATTTAAATTATTTCAGTGACTTGTTTGACCCAGAAAGAAGTTCATTGGAATGACAACAATTAATACAGAGTGTGGAAATATTCCCTTCCTCAACTTTAATCCCACGTTATGAGAAGATAACAGATTCAGGTTGATAATAGCACAGTTTATAGTGCTATCTGAGTGATTAAAGAGTCATTACTTGACAAACACAAATTATGCATTCACGTCTTGAGATTGAATATTGTCATTTATGGCCATGTGCATCTGATTAAATGTCAGGAAGAATTACACAATTCACTGAGTGTTAAACTTGTTGAAAACAAGTTTTCGTGTCAGTAGGTTGCTGCAAAGTTAAACTATCCTTTTCTCTTATTTTGAAAACATTTTTCCCAGCTCCTCAATAGAACAGTAAATCACACAGATTAAAATACCAAGCTGTCAAAAATCCTGACACCTTCATTGTGAACGTAAAGTAGTTTCAGCAAACAGAGTAATAAGTAAGTACGCTGATAGGATTTCAGCAATAAAATGAGAAACTTTGATTTAACTATGTCAGAAATATTTCAGCAGCACTTGTCAGGAGGAGAGAAACTTGCATTTTTATAGCAGCTTTTTTCATAAACGTCACAAATCTCAAAATGTGTTACAACCAATGAAGTACTTTTGAAATGTAACATAGGTAACACAGTAACCCACTTGTGCACAGCAGTTCGCACAAACGGCAATGCAATCATACCAGAGTAACTGAGCTGTGATGTTGATTGATATTTACATATTGGTTAATATAGTGAGATAACTCTCCTACTCTTCAAAATAGTCCTGGCTAGGATAGACAGATGGTTCATCCAAAAGTACTGCACCTATGACACTCTGGTACTCCCTCAATATTCACCTTTAACTTTCATTGTCAGGGCCCATAGTGGAATTTGAACCTGGAATTTTATGACATCACGATGTACGTATGCACTTTTCACTTTTTGCTCAGAGACGTTATTACACACCTCTGAAGTAGGTGGGACTTGAACCTGGGCCTCCTCCCTCAAAAATAAGGACAAGACCATGACAGAAGCCAACTGTCATCCATTTACACAGCCCGTTGCTGCAGAAAGGCTGCCAACATCATCAAAGACCCATAGCACCCTGATAATGCTCTGCTAAACTTCTATCAGGCAGAAGATACAGAAGCTTGAACACAGGCACCAGCAGGTTCAAGAACAGCTTCTTCCCTGCTGTTATTAGACTGATGAATGGACTCTCTAACTTCAAATACTGTTGATCTTGCCTAGTGGATTCCTTGTGCAATGTAACTTGTGCCTCTGTCTAGTTTTTTTTTCCAGCCTATAATCTGTACATGCTTGCTTACTATGATCTGCCTGTACTGCTCGTAAACAAAGCTTTTCACTGTACTCTGGTACACGTGACAATAAATAAATCAATCAAATCAAACAGCCACTGTGCCACATGAGCCTTCTTTACAGCTAATGAAGCATTTTTAACTTGTAGTCACATGTGCGATGTAAGGAAACTCTGCAACCATGAAGATGTTGATTGAGAATAAATACTCACAAGCACATAAAGCAAACAGCTCTGTTTTCTCAAATGGGGTTATGGGGCAGTTAACATACACCTGAGAAGAGAGGTGAATCCCTGGGTTAATATTGCACTACACCTCAGTTAGTACTACTCTCCCTCAGTATTGCTAATGAACTCTCATCCTGAATTATGTGTTAAAATCTGTCAAGAGGGACTTAAACCCAAGCTTTCTGATATAGAGGCAAGAAAGATACCCACTGAGACAGAGCCAATGCCTAAAATTAAGTCATGTTTATTTCTATTGGTTTAATGCACGGGTTCTCAACTTTATTGCTTCTGAGGTTTCCCTTCCATGTTATCCCACAGTGCCCTGTAACTAGACAAATATTTTTTCTGCATCAAAATAGTTCAATTATTATTCTTGTTTCACAAGGTGGAACTTGTTGCTAGTACTGAGCAACAATTCTGCCAACACATGAAGGTCCTTCAACAAGCTCACTCATATGATGTTGGCTGGTCATTGCTGAAAATCCAGCCTCACATAAGTAAGTTGTACTAAATGGAACCAACACTAGCACTGCTGTAGAAGAGGTAATGCATCAGTGCAATCACTAACATATATATCTTAACATCTTACAACTGTTTCTGAGGAAGCTGTCTAATGAAATGCAACCCCTTGAGTCTGTTCCATCTTTCAATAAGGTTACTGTTAATCTGATTGCTGCCTCAAATCCACTTTTCTGTACAACACTTTCACTCCCTTATTAATCAATAATTAGTTAACTTGCGCTCAAAAAATATTCAATGACTGCCTCCAACCTGCTCAGGGGGAAAAATACAATTCCATGGACTTGCAATGGAAGGAGAAAATGCTCCTCATCTCTATTGTAAATGGAAATCCCTTTTTTAGAAACTAATCCTTAGTTCTGGTCTCAGCCAAACATCCTTTCAGCATCCATGCTTTTAAGTATCCTCAGGAACTTATAGGTTTCAATATCATCTCTCATTCTTCTAAATTCCAGTAAATATAAGGCCAGTCCAACGTCTTCTCACAGAATAACCCCCCTGATTCCAGGAGTTTTACACTGTGCTGAAAACATCTTGAAAACCTGGTTTAATACCTCCGGTTGCAAGTACGTCTTGGCGCAAAAAAGCAGCTTTTAATTTTCTGCACAGCGTTAGAATATTGCTCAGTCAATGCTTCAGCCCCCCAGCACAGAATCCAGGGTAATCTGTCCAACTGGAGTTCTCAGATCATCCAACTGCTCAAAAATACCATTATTGTCTTGAGTTCTTCACAAAACATAAAAGTTGATTTCATTCCCCTTTTCCACACAGACTGGATATCATTAATTAAATAGGGTATTTTAGAAATAGCTGTGGCTTCATACAGTTGAAAGCACTCCCTTCTGACACCATCATTTTTGTCACGTTATTTTTTCTGGTTCCTTGTCTCTCTTAGACTTTCCCACACGAGTTCAATGGCTCCTGATATTATCGACTACTCAGGAAACAGATGTATTTGTTTCTGCTTGAGCAGTTTTTTTCACATCACTAAGTAAGCTGAGACGACTACTTTCATCAGCGGTAATGTTGGATTTCATTGGTGCTTTACCAAGGAACGTGGGAGTAAGACCGGAGTATTATTGACTTGCTTTATCCCTTGGCTGAGGTTTCCCTCATCCAAACAACTCGCTCGGAAAGATGGATAAAGGTAGAGGAAATCGTGCCAGTGCATTACGTTCAATGGTTGGAATCGACCCAGCCTTTCCTGTAATGGCTATACTGTATCACCAGCCTGGGATGTTGGATAAGGACTGTTTAAGACACATCAAATCAAATACCCAAGCTATTTATATAGAACATTTCTCGAAAGCAACTGGAACAAAGCAATGATTGGACAATAGATAGAGAGCAGGAAATAATTGAGAGGGGGTTGGATGTATTTTGTTCAGCAGCCAAGCGGGGTCAGATGTGGCAATGTTCAACTAGAGTTAACGCCCTCTGCAGAGTGTATTCAGCAGGCAGGTTCCTAGTACACTCAGCACTCAGTCTGGAGTGAATGTGAGGGGATGAAGTTCAGCTGACTTTGCTTCGAAGTACACCTTACTTCGACCGTTCCTGTCTCATTATGGCAGATTTCCCAGACAAAATTAACACTCAGACTAGTACGAGGACTGACAGCAGTGGGGTGAGTTCCAGATTCTCCCCAGTCGCTGTGGACTTTCGTTTCCTCAAATCGTCCATTGGAATATTGATGCTAGTGGAATTAGTAAGTTGATTCATTTCACTTGCTTTATAGATGTGGCTCGTTCGAAAGGCCCGGTTGATAGCTGAAGTTAAAGTTTACTTTAACCCGTTCTGAATCCGTGTGTTAGTTGCTGCTGGATAATTTGCATGTTGAAAAGCTTCAGTGAGTTCAGGGCAGCTATGCAACTTCAATTTCAGTGCAGCTGGGCTGCCTCTGACTTCAAAACAAAGTATTTTTGTTTTAAACAATAGGAAACGTGCACCTGCTTATTTGGATACTTTAGGGTTAAATCCATAATTTAAAATCAGAATTGTGGATAAAGGGGTAAAGTCTAAATTCTCACCTGCGGGAACGCTAAAAGACTACATTAACAACTAACTAGGCAATTACACAAGCAAGTCAATATAAAGTGCCCTGTTTAAGACGGACACCACAATAATTAACACTTTATCGTTGGAAAACAGCGGCATTTCTGAGCGTGGACAAGGCTTTCCAACACTGCAGGCTGTGGGGAGAGACTCTATAGCTTTCGTGGTGGGGGAAGATTTTGAGGGCTGTTTTGTAGGAAAGCTGTCTTCAGGCAGCAAGTGATGAGCATGAGTGTTTCCATGTCAGATACTATCTCGCACTCGGCGATCTGTGGGGCGCATTTAAAAAAAAACATTAAAGGCAGGAGAGAGGGGATTGTTGAGGGAAAGTCCGAGATGTAATGGCTTGGAAAAAAAAGACATTCTCCAATGACATGTAGGAGAAAGCAACGCTAGTATTGGAGAAGCAGGTTGTACTGACTGTAGGATCTAATCAATGATAGGGTGGCCTGAGACCTGTTATTTCTCGAGATGTTGATTTCTGTGTTTTGATCAAAGTGTTCTTTTTTAAATTTTAATTTAATTTTAAAAAAAAAGCAGAAACTGGGCAGGAAGAATTACACTTTCGTCCATGTTGCCAGCATACACCAAATCCTATTACAGCCTTTGAGCCAGTTTTGCTGACAAATTTGGGATTCAGACAGATATAACATTGTACCACTGGAGAGAGAACAAACTTGCACATGCCTCCATCTTTCATACAGATAAATGAAGCCATTTGAGATAATGGAATATAGATTTGTGAAAACTTTTCTATCTTTTTTTTCACAGTAGAAAAATGGGGCAATTAGGAATAGTCTAAGCTTAAAGCTTAGCACAAGGAACATGTGGTAACGGAGTTGACATCTTGCCATTACCATGGGTGGGGTTGGGGAATCTCATATGGGGAGCCTATTGTTGATCTCACACTGACATAACTGAAAGCAAAATCAGATATGCTTTACCGAACCTTAAAGAATGTGACAAATTACATCAAATGCTTGACTTTCTCCAGTATTTAACTTTTTATTCTCCTTGTTTTATGTAAGTTATGTGCCTCTTCACATTATTGAAACTAAAATACTCTGCTGCATGGATGTTGCAAATCCAAAACTTAAAAGCCAAAAATGCTGGAGAAACTCCAGTCTGGTAGGATCTGTGCAGAGAGAAACAGAGTTTCAAATCCAATATGACTTCACAGCAGTTCCAAAGAAGAGTCCTGCCTGACTCAAAACTGTTTCTCTTTCCACAGATGCTGTGAGACCTGCTGAGTTTCTCCAGCAATTCTTGTTTTTAACTTATTACATTTTTTAAAAAAAAAAGCGACAGACAGAGCCAGGGCAGATGAGGCTAGTGCAAAAAGCTGACCAGGTAATGGGCAGCAATGTTTAGAAGGGAAGCCTAGGTGGAGCAAGCAGGTAGAATCTTATCAGAGTATGACAGAAAACAATAGGAATCAATGCTGCAAGCAGGAGGCTAAGACTCTCTAAGGAAGAGTTCATTTGTGATTTTCAGAATTATGGGTCAGATGCAGAATATGGTCTTGGCAGTTGATCAGAGGCATATGAATAGTGCAGGTGTGACAAAGTGGGAAAGAAAGCCACTTTGTGTTCTGCTGACTGTCGTGCTTAAGTGAACTACCTGACCTATTGATTGTTCTTATGGGAACAGCAAAATCAAAACACTTCTATTTTCTGATCTTTTACAAAAAAAAACAGCTGAGCACAATTATCAAGAAATCCATCTACTGGCTTAAGAATGTTAAAGTTCTATTTTGAATTACTTCGTCTTTCAAGAAAGTGAAAATGTACAGAGTGATAGACTCGAAGTCATGCAGCATGGAAACAGACCCTTTGGTCCAACCAGTCCATGCCCACCATGTTACCAAACTAAGCTAGTCCCACCTGCCTGCATTTGACCCATATCCTTCTAAACCTTTCCTATTCATGTACTTATCCAAATGTCTTTGAAACGTTGTAACTGCACTTGCATCCATCACTTCCTCCAGCAGTTCATTTCACATATGAATCAGTGTTTAAAATAAAAAAAAAAGTTACCCTCATGTCCTTTTTTTTATCTTTCTCCTCTCTCCTTAAAAACTATGTCCCCTAGTTTTGAACTCCTCCAATCCTAAGGAAAAGACCCTTGCTCTTCACCACCTTTATCTGTGTCCCTAATCATGTTATAAACCTCTAAGGTCACACCCCAACCTCAAGCTCCCAAGGGAAAAAAGTCCCAACCTTTCCTTACAACACAAACCCTCCATTTCAGGCAACATCCTAGTAAAGCTTTTCTGAACCCTTTCCAATTTAATAATAATCTTCCTATAGCAAGGTGTTGATGCTATAGATGCTGTCTTTGACTGATTATGAAATATTCAGATGTAAATTTTGAGCCTGAGGATGTCAAGAATGATTAGTAGAAATCATAAATTAAAATTAGTAATTTAATTAAACTAGTCAAGCTACATACTGGGACAAAAAAATCTGAAGGTATTGTAGACAAATTTGCAGACAGTAGAAAAGCTGGTGGAGGAAGATACAAGGTGATGTTATATTGGTTTAGTGGGCAAAAGTTTGGCAGATGGAATATAATGTGGGAAAATAAGATTGTCGATTTGGGGACAGGAAGAATAGAAAATGGAGAAAGACAGACTGTATAATGCTGCATTAGAGGAATCTGGGTGTTCTGGAGCAAGTAATTAGGAAGGCAAATACATGGTTGGCTTTCATCATTGCAAGAGGAATGAGGCATAAAAGTAGTGTTCAGGATACTGCTGAAACCATACCTGGAGTATTGTGTACAGTTTTGTTCATCTTCCTTTAACACAAGGTAGATGTCAAGTATATAAACTTCCAAGAGATGTTTGATAAGGTACCAGATCATCGATTTGATAATAGAATTGAGAAAAGGAACAGTGGTACTATATATGAAAGTGGCTAATAGGCAGACAACAAAGAGGAGTGTTTTTCCTCTAAATTAGAGGAAAGTCTACAGTAAGTTGGAGTCTTAACTGCTGTCTGAAGTGGTCTAGCAGACACTCAGTTCAATGGGGAATTAGGGATGGGTAACAAATACTGATATTACCATTGACAGTCACATCATGTGAAATATTTGTTTTAAGTATCAGTGGAAAGTAATAGCTTAATGAGTTTTGGTGAAATGGCACAGTGGGGAGCTTATGTGGAACATAAACACTGCCAACGTCCTGCTGATTTGAGAGACTGTATGTATCTCTGTGCTGTACGAACTTCAAAACATTGCTTGCGTCTCAATGGGCAGTTAATAAATGATAATCTCAAAGGTAGAGAGGCAGATCTTCAATCCACACACTCAGGGTTAGAAAATAAGGTTTAAAAATTGATGCTGGCTTAAAAGGAGAAAAAGATAAATTCTTTGCAAAGGATACAATTGTCCTTCTATACACAATGCTGCATAATGGGGTTTAACTAGCTTTGTGATGCTGACACTGTATATCAAGTATGTTTGCTGCCTTCCAAATCATTGGTCCTGTAAAGCAAATGGGTTTCAAAGTCCATGCTAGAATGGAATGTGACAAGGACAATGTGTAACACACCTTGGTTAACTGATAACACAGGTATATAACATATTGACGTTTTATTTTTCACTGGCTGACTTGGGCAAAAGTGTAAGCTTCTCTTCTGAACCAACCTCCTCCAGATATTTTACTCTTTAGTCATCATGCAGACTTGTAGTTACTGGGTTCTCTTGGTCTGATATGGTGCACATTTTCTGATGCCCCAATTCATGTGGGTAAGTGCAGTTGTAGTCATTATATAAATAATAAAATCAGGCCAGCTGACTTATGGATTGAAAATTTAACACTATCAAAGAAGTTACTACTAGGTCAGAAAATAGAAGTCAATTTTGGGAGATTCTTTTAAGTGAACAATATAGAAGTAGAAATAGCATGTTTCACTCGGTATGTGAAAGCCTTGGGTTAGTTTAGATCATCCACCATCTCAAATCTGTTTTGCCGCTCAGTCAGGTGATTGTTGGTCTGAACCATGATTCCATTCAGTTACCTTTTGAATCTTATCATATCCTTTACCAAATCTGTTTGAAAATTCTCAGTTGACCAAGGATCAGTGTTGGGGGAGTCCAAATTTCTACTTAATATGGAAAAGATACAAACTGACTTCACCCCTGAATGGCCTCGCATTGAATTTGGAAATTCTATCTTAGTCTTGATCCCCTTTCACTTGCTCCAAGTTTACCATATCCCATCCTTTTTAATGTCTTAAATAACTCAACTCGAGTTCTCTTATTTTAAGCCAGTTTATAGAATCGGACACCAGGAAGGTGATTGTTTGGCTCATTTAAGCCCCTGTTAGCTCTTTGAAAGAGTTACCCAGTTAGGCCATGTTCTTTCCCATAGACCTGCAACTTTCTCCCCATCCAATATTTTATCAAATTCCTTTTTTTTTTTGAAAGAAAGCTACATTTGAATATATTTCAATCAACCTTTCAGGCAGAACATTCCAAGTCTTCGAATGTACTGCAATAAAAAAAAATGTCTTTCGTGTTCTGGTTCTTGTTTTCTTACAGAAATAACTCTTAGGGGGTTACTTTGATTTCCCTCCCTTGTTAACCTGTTGTGCTACTTTTAGTGATCCATGTCTACTTGCCCACCCTTCTGCCATCCTGCCTTTCCCTGTCCCCATGTTCCTTTTTCACTTAGACATGTGTGCTGCCTCCTTATTCTTGCTGCCAATTCCTTATGCTTAAATTCCCAATCATTCCATGAATTTACTCATGTTTTCTCGGAGTTGTTCCCTGACTTAACCACATCCGCACTTTGTCAGTCACTTATTGGGGAATTGTATTTTCAACTGCATTTATTAATGGTGAGAAAAAGTTGTCTCTACCAGTTCTTGCGGAACATCACTTCCCATTGTTAATTAATCCAGGTAACTGCCTTGGACGATTCCTGTCTATTTTTGTAACTAGTTAGCAATCAATTCTCCTGCATGTCCCCCTGACTCCACATAGTCTAACCTTAGTCATGGGTCTACCTTTTGGATACTTGAATATATTGCATCTACTGTATTTCCTTATCTACCCTTTTTTTTAGTAATACTACTTCAAAGCCTTCAATAAACCAGGTGAAATATGATCTTCCTGTTTGGAACCCATAATGCCCATTTTACATTTTCGATTTTCCTTATCACCTTCTGAAGGATTCCATTATTCTCCCTATCACTGTTACATTCATTGGTCTGTATTCCCAGCATTTGTTCTGTCTATTCCTCTGTCTGTGAAAATTGATCATCCTTGATGGATGATTAAAATTTTGATCATCCATCTGCAACCTGTTGGAAAGGCTGAAGCTTACAGCAAGCTCTGTGAATGAACAATGTGGTTTGGCACATCTCTTGCAAGAGATATTTGATGTGTGGGCTCAGGTGACATGGCATCAATGTATTTGGCATAATGAGTTTTATTTTATATAGTAGTTGAGCAGATGCACTAACTCAATGCTATGAGCCTGTTATCATTGTAAAGGAGCATTCAATGACATTCTCTTTTTGTCACACAGTAATACTTTTTAAAGTATCCCTGGAACGTCAGGAGTTCTTAAGGTGAGAGGTAATGGGGAGATTTGATCTTCAGTATAACTTGTCATCACAGAACAATATAGCACAGGAACAGACCCTTCAGCCCACCATGTCTGTGCCAATCTAAACTAACACTATTTACCTACACATGCTCCATATCCCTCTATTCCCTGCCTGTTCATGTCTGTCTAAATTCCTCTTAAACATTGCTGTCATATTTGCTTCTACCACCTCCCCTGGCAGCGCATTCCAGGTACCTACCATCCTCTGCTTAATCATACTAAGCATTTGTAAGTTCCCTGAACTTGTTCAATCTTATTTATGTAGAGGAATCACATTTAGTTCCCCTGTGATTTTAAACATTTGACACAAGCCAGTGACTTTACCAAGTAAGTATGAACTGATTCAGTTCAACACCACCCCACTAGGGCCTTCCTGACTTGCAAATCTTTTTGTTTGAACCACACTTCATTATCACAAGCACTTACAAATGAAGTAGCATGCATTCTGCAGAGAATCCCATGTTGTGTATACAAAGATTGGAGAACGTTGCCATTGGTGTGCAGTAATGAGATGGTAGCCTATGGCACATTCCAACATGAGGAAAGTAACTCTCCTGTCATCAGTGGGGTCACCACAGTCCTAACGTGAACAAATGTGTGTGTATATAGATGCTGTCATTGCATCATTGATATGAACAACGACTACTTAACATTTGCTTGAAACCATCCTGACACGCTTCACAGGTCAGTTTTCAAACAAAATTTGAAACCAGGCTTTGTTGAGAAATTGGAACAGTTAACCTAAAGCTTGAATTTGAGGTAGGCTTTAAAGTAGGGTGTCACGGTGGCTCAGTGGTTGGTGCTGTGAGGCAGCAGTGCTAAGGACCTGGGTTCTATTCCACCCGTGGGCGACTGTGCAAACTCCACACATGGGTACGTTCTCCCCATGGATTTCCTCCCACTGTCCAAAGATGTGCAAGTTAGGTAGATTAGCCATGGAAAATGTAGGGGTCGGGGTGTTGGTGGTTCTGGATGGGATGCTCTTCAGAGGGTTGATGTGGACTTGATGGGCTGAATGGCCTGCTCTCACTCTATATGGATTCTATTCTCCTACGAAATAAGGAACGGTTTAGGGAGGGAAACTCATCAATTAAAGCTATATATCAATGTACCAATTTGAGCAAAGACCATCCGAAATGTGAAAGAGTCAGGAGTTGGAGGATAGGCCAGGAAAGTAACTAAACTTGCTATTAAACCAAATGAATGTGTCTGTGCTGCAGCCATTACCAAAATATGTGGAACCCTTATCAAAAGGCAGTTATGGGAACTGATAGTCCCAATATTTGCTAGTCAAATCAAGACTATAGGCCTTCAATTCCCATTTAAGTAGATAATCTAGCTCAATATGTCTGCTTTTAACTGAAGACAGTTTAGAAGGCAACATTATAAATCAATGAGCATTGTAGCACAAGTGCTTTCGTTGACTCTTGGGATGTGGGTATTATCGCATTTATTGCCATTCCCAGTTATTCTTGGAAGTACCTATCTTCTAATTCATTGATATTAAGAATCTCTCGAGTATAGGACTAAAATCATCAGGAATATGGTAACTGGTTCCTCTCATTACTGCCTGTGACAGTAATATTGGTACAGCAATACAAATACAGTCCTGTTTGTTTTTCTGATGTCAATTGACAATATACAAGTTAGTTCAATTTGGCAACTTGCCACAAGGGAGATATTCCTCCTCTGGGTTGTTAGCCTAGTAGCTTTTTATCTATTGCACAACCGCAGAAACTACTTGTAAAGAAGGTGAGCTGTCTTCATCGCAACTCGTGCAGTGATGAAATTTTATTGCATAAATCATTTAACGTAAGTGAGCTGATAAATCCAGACATTATTTGGCGAGTCAACTTCATTATTAACTAAAAAATGATAAAGCATAAAATTTGCATCATAAACTTTTTTTTAATATTCGTGCTCTGAGTGGGAGAGAATGGCTGAAGTTAAAATCCATATTGTCGACTGGATAACTGAGAAAGTTCACAAAATCCTAACAGTGCGTCTGATGCTGGTCTTTGGCATCTTTTTTTGGCAGGTGGGCAGCGGGGGCAGGGGTTGGCGTGGAGGGGGTGGCGTGGAGGGGATAGCAATTGGGATTTAAATTTAATCCAAGAACGTGTAGGCCTCTAGTGTGTTATAATCTGACCCTCCTGTTTTCTTGGCTTTCTGCCCGCCTTGCACTGTCTGAGGAGGCAAACGGCTTGTTGCCAGATCTTGATTAGTAACTGTGTTTAAACTCTCCTACAGGAGAGACGCCATTGTGAACAGCAGGGATGAGAATTGGGGAAATCTAGCCATCCTACGATGGGGGGTGGGTGATTGTCTTTGCTTTATGGATGGAGGTCAGTAGTTATGGTTGCGTTGTGTAGGCGCTACTGCCTTTGAATTTGGGTTTAGAATATTTTTTTCTATAAAATATTGTGTTTCAGATGTGATACATTTTGAAAGTCACTCACTTCATTTTGGGTTTCTGCTTCTGAAACAATTAAGAATTTAAGAAAAATTAAATTTGCACACACTACCTTTTTCACCATTCGAAAGCCCATAAATAGTACAATGTTTGGAATGTAGTTAATGTCGCAAGCAGGATTAAAATGGTGAAGTTTAAATGCAAAAGAAATGGAATGAACAATCTCCTGATTCAGGAGTGGTGATCTCTTACAGTCCAGCTTCATGCAAGCGTAGAGATGAAAAAAGGACCACATTTGGACAAAAAGGCAGGAAAAAGTCAAAACTGCATGTGTCAAAATGTTTTTGTTTCTTTTGGACGAGATGTCATGGTGCCTTGTATCTCTTCTGTTGTTCAGCTGGATGTCAAAGAAGCCATGACACAATTTAAAGGGGTGTCCTGTTCAACAATGATCACAATTGGAACAGATTGACTGACTGGTCCTTCAGCTCTCTTACTGTTTGATTTTTAGCAACTTGCTGTTTGAGAATTAGTTGCTGCATTCAGCCTACAAAACACATGACCAGTTCCACATAAGCTCATTGATGCATTTTGGGATAGCTCCTTGTTCTGAAAATTTTCTGCATAAATACAAATTGTTTTCTTTGTCTTGAAACAGTTTGGGTATTCTTATTCCAAGAAAGTGAAGGATATACACTTATCTTCAGAACCTAAGGCTGAGTAATGGGGATTATTTACTTCTGGAACGAAAGCAATGTTAAGTATCAGTTAACTGGTGCTATTTCCCAATAAGTTTAAAAGACCAGGCGTGGCTGTTTGCACTTAACTGTCAGATTTACTCATCAAGGAAAAGAAATGCTAAAGTTGATGCTCATCAAATATTTGTTCATCAAATCTTAGAGTATGCAAGTTGTGCATTGGATCCCCTACTGCAAATCTGTACAGTATATACACCGGTCTCACATTTCAAGTCTTTGATCAAATATGGGAATCACAACAGCAGAGGAGGAGAAAAAGACAATGGCCATATTTTATTTTATAAAACACACGTAGACTGGAAATTGATAAACAAGTACTTGACGTGCTCCAATAAAGAGAACATGTCATCCATGTCAATTACAAACACCATTTATTTTCAAGGCAGTGAATCACCAATATTTCTTCCCAAGGACAATCTTACAACAGAACAAGCTGTCAAAAGGAACTAGTCACAGTTCCATCACTTGAAACTTTAAAGACTCATCTTTTACATTATTTCCATCTGAGTTTTCCTAATTGGGATTCCCATCTCAGCAAGTCAAGCCATATTTTAAATGGACAGAAGTATAATTGTCAAGAGTTTTGCTAAGACTATAGTACGCACTAGTCGACTCACAGCTGGAATACTGTGATCAGTTTTGAGCCCATAAGACCCATTTTTAAAATGAAAAAGAGGAGTAGGCTATTCAGTAGAATCATGGCTGATCCACCATTCCTCGCATCCACTTTCCTGCCTTTCCCTGTAACCCTCTGTTTCCCCAAATGATCAAGAATCTATCTACCTCAGCCTTAAATATACACAAGGACACTGCCCTAACAGCACTCTCTGGCAAAGAATTCTAAAGACTCAAAACTCTGGAAGAAATTCCTCCTCATCTCGGTCAGAATAAAGGGGCACCAATTTAATACTATGTCCTCTGGTCCTAGAATGTCCCATGAGGGGAAACATCCTCTCAGCATTTACCCTGCCAAGCACTTTAGGAATCCTATGTTTCAATGAGATCATTTGATTCTTTCAAATCCCCTTGAGTGGAGTCCCAACCAGTTTAGTGTTTGTTCCTTAGACAATCACTCTAAACCAGGAATCATCCTAGTGAATCTTCTCTGAACTGCTTCCAATGAAACAATACTTTTTCTTTCCTTAAATAAGGAGACCAACCCCCCACCACCACCACCTCAGTACTCCAGATGTGGTCTCACCAGCACCTTGTATAGTTGCAATAAGACTTTCTGACTCTTATGTCCCAACCTCCTTGAAATAAGGGCCAACATTCCAGTAACCTTCCTGATTACTTGCTGCACCCTGTCTGCTAGCTTTAGTGTTTCATGCGGAAGTATCCTCCAGTCCCTTTCTTTTTTTTTTTGTGTTGTTTTTCTCCATTTAAAATAATACTGTTCTTTTATTCACCCTTCCAAAATAAACAAGTTCACATTTTCCTACACTTGTCTCCAATTGACAATTTTTTGCCCACTCACTTAACCTATCAATATCTGTGCAATTTGTGTATCCCTCTCACAACTTGCCTTTCCATTTTTTGTCATCTGTAAATTTGGCTACGGTATGTTCATTTCATTCCTCCAGGTCATTATAAACAGTTGTGGGCCAGCACTGAGCCTTGTCAAACCACCACAGGTCACCAACCTGAAAAAAAAAACCCATAATCCCACTCGCTGTTTCCTACCCATGAGCCAATTCTCAATCCATGCCAACATATTGCCTCCAACACAGTGGGCTCATATCATATGACTTTAACCTTTTTTGTGAAGTACCATGTTGACTGCTTTCTGGAAGTCCAAATGCAACGCATGTACTAGTTCTCCCTATCTACTCTGGTTGAGACCCCTTTTTCTTAAAAAAAAAAAAAAACAAACCCTAATCAATGATTTCCCTCTCTGGAAGTCATGCTAACTCTGCTAGGTTATCATTTTCCAAACATTCTGCTATAACTTCTTTTTAATTTCAGTCTCTTTCCAGCAATAGACGTTAGCCTAATCGACCTATAGATACCTGTGTTGTTCTTTTTATCTTCTTCTTGAGTAGGGGTGGTACATTGGTCATTTTCCAATCTCTGATACTTCTCCAGAATCCAACGATTATTGAAAAATAACACATCCACTATTTCTGTAGCTACTCTTCTAGGATGCAAACTATAAGGGCCGTGGGACTTAGCTGCTTTTAACTCTGTTAGTTTGTCTAATAGTATTTCTCTAGTGACAATGGTAGTTAGCTCCTCCCCTGTATTCCTCAGTATTTGAGATGTTCGAAGGATCTTCCACTGTGAAGATTGATGCAAAATACTGGTTTAACTCCTGCTATTTCCTTGCTTCCTCATAACCGTCCCCCCAGATTCATTTTTCTAGGAGCCCTTTTTGCGCTCTCTCTCTCTCTCTCTCTGCTCTCTCTCTAAAATAGAATTATAGAATCCCTACACTGTGGAAGCAGGCTATTCAGCCCATCGAGTCAATGCCAACCTTCTGTGTATCCCACCCAGACCCACTCCTCACCCTCTCCCTGTAACCCTGCATTTTCCCCAATGATTGAAAGAGACTGGTTTGTTTCCATGCTATATGACTCTGACTCTATAATCTGTTTTTTAAAAAGTGATACTGAATGTTCTGAACCCTGAATGAAATCTGGCTTGATGGGTCATTATTCTAGTCAAGGTGGTATTCAATCACATGAGGCTGCAGAGGCTCTTTGACAGAACTGAAGTTTATTACTTAATAGAAGAATTTTTTTTTTTAAAAAAAGCTACCCAAATATAGAAAACAGTTGGATCTGAAAACATCAGGTTTCAGTGTGCTTTCTGACAGTGAATTTAGAGATTCAAATCCAGAGAGAGTACACCCTATCTCCCAACTCTTTAGGGTTCTAATTCACTGACTCCTGATCACTGCTGTGGATGTAGAGTTGATTTGAGGCTCTTCCAAATGTGTCAAAATGAATTCCTCCAGAGTAGCCTAAACTTCCTCAGTTCTAATAACCTGCAGCTTTCTAATCAAACTTATGGTGTGGAACTTCCACACACTAAATGTTTCTACTAAGTTGACTGTTTGCCCTGAATATTCCTGTTAAGAGGAAAGGACTGAACTGAACTTTTTGGGCCATTCAGGTCTTCTCCAAACTGTCCTAAAAACCTTTAACCTCTGTTTTCTGAACTCAAATCAATCCTTAATTATCCTGAACTAAAAAGCTAATGGTCTCCAATGTTTACTCTACATGCCATAAACTCCACAGTATAAGCATCTCATTCTGTTAACATCCCAAGGCTTTGTAGTCACGTATTCTCAGACCCATTGCATTACGTCAGTGTTTGAGAGGCTCTGCTGTCTTTTGTAAAGAGGTTATTTTTCTTAAATAAAACGAACCAACACCAAGATACTGCCAGTATGAAATCAACATTCTAAATGTAATAATTAGATATGAATCTCAATCTTTTGATTGTCCTGGTCAATATTTCTTCTTGGAACACAGTTGCCATCCTTGCTCTTCTTTTGAAGTAATTTCTGGAATTTTTTTGCATCCAGAAGGGATCTGTCTTTAATGTTTCAGTGAAAAGGCAGCCCTTTTGGCAGTGCAGCGCTCCCACAGTACTGCGCTGACAGTCTGCCTCAATGTTTGTGCTCCAATCCTGAATCTGGAAACTTGTGACTCAGTGGCAAAAATATTAAGTTAAGCAGCATATGTAGTTCTTTTAATGATGATCTGTTTTAAAGCCAAGATACACGTAGAGCAGTGACAGTAAATATTGTAAACTCCTATTGAGAGAATTTTGGACCAATCAGTAAATTGTTCTTATTGCCTTTCCCCAACACAGTCTGTTCTCATGTATGTTCATTTACTAGATCGCTATAAAACATTCAAAAGCTCATCAGTAATGAGATATACAATGTCCTCCAATAATCTGCACTCAGGACAATGGTTTGATGGTGTTGTGAAACAAAAAAAAGACTGATGTACTGGTCAAGGAGTTCCCCAAAGGGGGACACCACATTTCCCATCTCTGGAGGGTGACAGCGGGAAAGCTTAGGGACTTTTCACCTTTTTGTAAGTCTCCAGATGCCACAACCTATTGGAAATCCTGAGCACTGCTACTGTGGCTACCAGATTGGGATCAGTTGCACGCTTCGCCAATTATTGCTCCTCGCACTGCAACAGCATCAACAATGCCTTGATGACATAGGATTACATTTCATTCGACTTTCCTTATAGTGACAAGGGAAGCCTATTGAAGCGTGTCATGCACTGTGACAACACGTTACAAAGCGAACAAAAATTGGAACACTGAGACCATTGTCAAACCATTACAGTGAAAACAATTGCAACGTAGCAGTGAGAATGGATTAATCCTTAAAACAATAAAACACACTGTACAACTGCATACAATTCTCTCCTAGCAAGGATTTGCAAATACCAGTTAATTTTAGGGCAATATTAACAATTCGTGTCATCTGGAGCAGTGTTCTAGAGCTGATAGCCGTTGGACACTTACCTCGCTTAAGTGCCCAAATGCAAGAACAATGGGCTATTTAACCAGAGGGAGCCTGATGCTGTTCTTGATTGTGTCCATGTCTTAAATTTTTTTTTTTTTTTTTTTGGCATCCTATTGTGGATAGTCTCTCTCTTCTCACCACTGGAATTAAGCTCTAGTCCATGTTTGGACTGAGATGGTAGTGAGGGCAAGAGCCAAGTAGCCCTAGCCAAGCCCTAACTGAGTGTCAGTGACAAGGTTATATTGTAAATCTCCAGATAGCACTGTTGGTGAGACCTTCAATTGTTTTTGACAATTATCAAGAGTAGACTGATGGGGCGGTAATTGGCTGGGTCGGGGTTGTCCTGCTTTTTGTGTACTGGATGTACCTGGGCAACTTTCTACATTGTTGGGTGGATGCCAGTGTTGTACCTGTATTGCAACAGCTTGGCTTCATTTCTCAGACCACTGAGTGGAGGAGTTGGGATGTCATTTTGAGGTGGTACAGAGTGTTAGTGAGGCCACTTTTTTTGGACTAGTGTGTACAGCTCTTGTTGCCCTGCAATAGGAAGGATATTATTAAATTGGATAAAGTTCAGAAAAGATTTACCAGGATGTTGCAGGGACTTAGTTTGAGTCATAAGGATAGGCTGGGACTTTTTTCACTGGAGCGTAGGAGTTTGAGGGGTGACCTTTGTAGAGGTTTATAAAATCACGAGGGGCATAGATAAGGTCATTGGAAAAGTGTTTTCCCTAGGGTGGAAGAGTTCAAAATTAGGGGGCATATTTTTAAGAAGAGAGGAGAAAGATTTAAGAGACCTGAGGGGCAGTTCTTTCATATACGGGGTGGTCCGTGTGTGGAATGAACTGCCAGAGGAAGTGGTAGATGCAGGTACAGTTATAACATTTAAGTCATTTAATAGGTATGTGAATAGGAAAGGTTTAGAGGTATGTGGACCAAAACAGGAAAGTGTATAGTTTGGAAAAACTTGGTTGGCATGGACAAGTTGGATCCAAAGGGTCTGTTTCCATGCTGTATCACTATGGCAAGTTCTGGGGCACATGTCTTCAATACTGTTGCCGGGATGTTGTCCAGGCCTGTAGCCTTTGCAGTATCTAGTGCCTTGCTGTTTTGCGAAGTCACGTAGTATGAATCGAGTTGGCTGAAGACTGCGATCTGCAATACTGGAATCAACTGGAGGAGGTGCTGCATTGA